ACATTAACATTGTCATATCCATCACCATGCTAAAATCTTCAGAGATTTATCATGATTGAAATACATTTGAGGCCATTATGTTTCTTGTAGCCATCTTAAACTAAGCATTACAGTATGGGCACATTCTGTTGTTACTTCGTATTAGCTTTAGCTTAGCTCCCCCAAAACTGTTCATGCTGTGAATGATTGCAGCGACATTACAACTTATCAATTTGGGAGCAAAGCAGCCAGACAGTGTCTCAGAAATCTCAGCAGAGCTGACAAACACTCACACTGTAGTTGAGCTTGCTGAATTAATGGCAGAAAGTGACTAATGAATAGGGTTTATAAGCTAGCTGACCTTTATTAAAATGCACAGTGGCAGAGCATCGCTAACCCCGGAGGGGTCCCAGGACAAGCGCTGTTCTAAAGGTAGCATGCATTACAACCCTGTACACGCTCTATACTGATCCGGGGCGAGTCAATCACACACGACACATAGTACAGTACTGGGACTGATCTACTGAGAATACTCCTAAACCACAGACGGACATGTTAACAATGGCGAATCTGAACTCCTTTGTCAGAGATAATGTATTTGTTTTATTATGAAGACTAGCCTAAAGGTAATAAGTCAAGGGACAGCTGTGTGATTTGCAATAAACGGGAATAAATGCGGACATGCTTTTTAATGCAGGGACTGCAAGTCAATCAGAGCAATCAGCTTGTTGTGTTTAATAGGGGAACTAAACTGACAATTATTTCTCAGACGAAGCGAGATCAGATTAGTTGTTGCGTTTTGTTCGAATTGCCTGATTTGGGAACATTTTGACGGAAGGCTCTGCAAAAGTGAGCCGAGAACATTTTCACTCTATTGTTTGCTCTTTATGCTGTCAATCAATAAAGCCCTTTCAAAAAGACAAATCACACATGAATGCTAGGTGCAGCACCTTACAATTTGGAGGTTTCAAATTGTGCAATGTTCCCCAAGCAATTTGCTACCATTGTAGAAATTAATTAAAGAAAAATTCCCTGTGAATACCTTTTGATCAAAAGAACTATTAGGCATGGTCTTTTATGCTATTCTTTTTTCCCCATGGCTTCACATTAAAATGTCAGTTTACTCATTTGAAGTCTTGCAGGCTTGCTTATTGGCTGAACCATAGGTGGTGTGAGAGCTGTTATTAGTGCTGTTGGACAGAGGCCGAGATGAATTTTAACAAGTCTGGACTTGACTTGACACAACGGTGCACTAAGAGGTAATCAGGACCCGAGTTGCTGTGCAATTTCCTTCTTCGTGGTGAGCAATCAGTGGTAGAAGAGAGGCTAAAGAATTGATTCGGTCTGACCAGAGCAGAATTACGGAGCAGCTCCAGGCACAATATAGAGTCTGACCGCCGATCAAGGCTTCAGGACAACAAATCGGTGAAGAAGAGTGAAGAAGAAATCAGATTTGCTCTGAATTCTCCCACCAAGAGTGAGGAGGCTGGGAATTTGATTAAAAACCCTGCGTGAACTTTGGACTCGGGCTCATTGTGGAATCCTTGCAGGATTATGCATTTCACGAGCCAGGATATTGTTGCCATGAAAACCATACTGTGTATCGGTGTAGAGCAGAAAACCAATCTACACCCCGCGTGAGCATTGTGAGATGAAGTCTAGGCCGTTTCCTTTAAGACCAACCCCCCATGTGTCCCCCGGTTTGCTCTGTAGATTTAGCGATGACTTTTGTTAATATAAAGCTCATAAAAGGTGATTGAGTGATAGTGTTGCGACTTGACAAGGGCAGCTGAGGAAAATTTTGTTTGGTTCTGTTACCACATCCAGATGTGGCCAGACATGCAAATACTTTTTTTATTCAGAAGACGCAAGTGATTTGGATGAGGAACAGTACAAAATTTAAACAAATATTACAAACCTCTTGTGACCTCTTAGCTGAATTAAAAGAACACAAACTTTAAAGTTGCAGGTTTGTAGCGTTGCAGGAAAGTGGATTATATGTTTATAACATTTGGATTTATTTTTATATTTGTTACATTTATTGTAAAAAAAAAAAAAAGATGCTGTTGAGTTTGACATCATACCATGACCATTGCAGTGTCCAAAGAAATTTTATGTGCTCAAAGTCTAGTGTGACTGCCCTTTCAAGTACACAAGTGACAGGATAAACCTATGAAGTTTCAGACTTGGGAATGGCAAAATGCAGGCATAAACATGTCAGAGTGGTGCTTCCGTTTCATTGTGATTGACTGGTTCTGTTAATGTGATAATGCCCGCCTACTGTGCTAGCAATTGGTATGCAAATCAACCTTAACAAGTAAAATTGGTATAAGTAGACATGCAAATTATAGAGTAAACACCTGACCCATTTGAAAACATTGACTTCATCCGAAATTGCACACTCTCTGAGCACGCACTTCATTTTGAATATGTAATGACTTTGTAACCATTAAAGAAGTATGTTCTATATAGTATAATGCATGTAGTATGAATGAAATCCGGACTTACTACATTTCTGTTGTTGCCATTGTCATGTGACCTATCTGCGTCAGTTACTTTGCTTCACCGCCATTCACAAATCTTCTCCCATGGCTTCTTGGGAGAGTAAAGTGTCCATCAGATATGTACTTCAGAATCTTGGAAGTAGTAATCTGGGTACTTTTCGCCTATTGTTTAATGAATACTGTGAATCTGTTCGCATACTGTTTTCGCCTGCTATATAGTAGGGAAGTATGCGATTTTGGATATAGCTATTGTATGTTAAAGGTACGCTATGGAATTTTGGGCTCTCTATCGCAATCTGTGGTTAAAACATACAATTGCAACAGATTTGCAATAAATCAAATTTTCTTAAAGGCCTATAAAACCTTCAAAATATAAGATGTTTTAAGTTTATTTAGCCAGGGCTTTGACAAACAATCTTTCAAAGTTTGTCTTGTATTTTCTAGTAAAAAAAAATTATGCTTCCTTCAAATTGGAATTGCAATTTTGCATCCTTTTTGCTGCCTTAATTCAAATTTGATCATTGCATTTAAAAAAATATTTTTTTTTACAGTTCTTCATGCCACACAACTCTGGTGACTTTATATGTACTGGCTGAATAATTCATTTTTTAAAAAGGAATCCTCTGTAGTGTACCTTTATTATCGACATACAAAAGTATTATAGTGTTAGTTGCTTGCTGGTAGTAGATAAGTTCTGTTCCATTAACAGAAACTGTGTAAACATCAAATGAACATGAATTGAATGTAAAAACAACTGAGATGGCAACTGCCTCAAATCAACACTAAGGTTAGCATAACGCTGACAGCTGTTTACATTAACATAGCTTTCGTGAGTTGCCGTTGTCCCCGTGGCCTGCCTTTAAGCACAGAGCTCATGTTTGTGGCTGTTTATCATCATCGTGCTTGTCGGGTAATCCTGACTCGCTGTGTTCGTTTCCCCCTCTCCTTTGCACTGGGCGCACGAGCAGTGAACGGTGGCTGGTCCACGTGGGCCACATGGTCGGCCTGCAGTGCTGTCTGCGGTCGGGGGTGGCAGAAGAGGAGCCGGAGTTGCACCAACCCCACTCCCCTGAACGGCGGGACGTCCTGCGAGGGCCAGAGTGTCCAGAAAAGTGCCTGCACTGCCACCTGTCCAGGTAACGTGCACCGGGCGTCGCTCACTGCAGAGTAGAGCTAGATTAGCAATAGCACACAGACCCTTGCACGGTCCCCTTGCTCTAAGGCACCAGTAGCCCCCTCTCTGTAGGAAGGCTAGCTTGATTGGCATTAGCTTTTCTGTGCTTAAGCAAACATTTTCAAGTTTTTTTTATTTTATTCATAGCTAAACCAGTGCTTGTGTGTCCATTCCGGCCATCATGTTGATTTTGCTGTGCTCTGTGCTGCTTTCGCTTTTGCTGCATGAGGTCTTTTTTCTGTTCAGTTATAAGCAGGGTCCAAAATTAACTTGCCTGCCAGTGGCGAAAACATATTTTTGTCCCTGTTTTTGCTGGGGGTTTTTTACGTTCATGTCGTAATGTTGTTTCTCACATTTGTCCCCAGATGGAGTTCTAGAACTTATTCTATACAGAATTGAATTATAAGTCTTTACCTTAAGTCTTTATTCAAAATTCCAATTCAATTATAAAATTTGAATTTAATTTGAATTAAGGTAGCAAACAGGTTGCACAATTGCAATTCAAATTTAAATGTACACTAGTGTTTAAATATTTTGGGGTTGGTAAGATTTTTTATTTTATTTTTTATTTATTTTATTTTATTTTTTTGAAAGTCTCATGCTCACCAAGGCTACATTTATTAAATATTATTAGAATTTAAAATATCTGCTTTCTTTTTTATTATATTTTAAAATGTAATTTATTTCTGTATATTTTCAGCAGCCATTACTCCAGTCTTCAGTGTCACATGATCCTTCTGAAATTATATTAATATGTTAATTTGGTGTTCAAGAAAAGTGTATTATTATTATGTACATGCATCCTTGCTGAATTAAATTTTTATTTTTCCTGACAGTGTTTGGAAGTCGACAAAATATTTGGTTTGTATAGTATCTTACAAATAATTAATTTGCATGACACATACTGGTCAAGCATTAGTCATTGGCATTTACAAAAAAAATGTTTTTAAGTGTAATTAGTAAAAATTAGAATGTCCTAGTTTTTAACTACTAGGTAAAAGTGGTTGCAATCTTATGGCCTCAATTTATTTTAGCTACATTTAAATAAACAAATTTAGTTGACTAACTTTCAGCATTTTTTTTTTTTTAATGTAGCTAAAATAAATTGTTTGCAACCACTTTCCTTAAATGTTTTTTTTTTTCAGTGTAGGAAAGGAAATTTTAATGTTGTTTAAACATAATTTTACAGAAAACAATATAAAAATAGCTCATTTTGGACTCTTGTTCAAAGCTGGTGGCAGAAAACTAAAAAGGCTTGTCTTTTAAACAGTCAGACAGGGCAGCACAGAGTGATATTTACACTACTGCACATTTTATAAATACAAAGATTAGCAAATGTTTTGATGCTAGCGCGCGCTATGTCACTGCTTAAGTTGTTTCTCTGACCTCCTTCACTGCTGCTAGTAGTACTTTCAAGGCTTGAGAGGGAACAGAGAAAGGAAGAGGAAGCAGCGTGGCTGCTTTTCCTCAGCGCTTATCGATCACATGCAGTTTGAAATGGAAGTCAGGCCGCTTCATTTACAGGCTGACATTAGACTCAGGTATATGGGGGAAGGGATTCTCTTGATTACTGCGATAGGCTCGTGAGTTTATTTCAGCAGGGACAAAAATGGCATTATGCAGGCGCTGCTGACCGGCGGAAAATATCCACGCTTAGTAAACAGGAGAGGAAATCGAAGCTTTTGTCAGCTGCAGCTCATCTCCCTCGCTCACCCCCTCTCTTCCTCCACTTCTCCAGTGAGAGGGTTTATCTACTTAAGCCAATCTCCTGTTTCATTACAAAGCATCCAGTGAAATTTAATAAGACGCCACCTTTACACTGCTCTGTAAGTAACGTGCTCTCAAAATATGGCGTTTTTGATGAGCAAAAATACAAAGCATGTGGGAACGCTTCTGACAGAGCTCTGTGGGGATGGATTTCACATGATTACGACTTAAATAGCATTTCTGTGGGGGAGAAGAGAGATGGAGAAGGAAATATAGGCATGAACACTGTTAAAGAGAAACACTGGTAGTAGAATTTTTGTAGGAAAGCAGTGATGAGAAGTAGAGAGTGTACTATAAAAAGTAATCCCGTAAAATGTATGGTAACACTTTACTTGAAGGGGTGTGCATAAGACTGACATGACACCTTCATAATCATGACATGACACATGTCATGAATATGAAGGAGGTTTTATGCATGTTTATGACAACTGTCATTAAGTGTCATTCTCAGTTATGTCATTTTTAATGCAAATATGACATTATTTGACCTAACCCTACCCCTACCCTTACCCCTAACCATAGCCCATAACAAAGACATCTCAAACAATGTCATCTTTGCATTAAAAATGACATAACTGACTTACTGTTAACCAATTAAAAGTTTTGTTTTACTGTAAGGTTTCTTACAGTTAAAATTACAAACCTTTTTTCTAGTGTACAACAATTATTTGAGAAATTGATTTATTTGTCAATCATTTTTTCATTTTTCAGATATTTTTCATTCAAACAAAGTGTAAATAGAAGTTTATGAAACAGATAATTTCTGACTGGATGCACCTCATTTGAAGCCATTGCATTCTATAATTGATGCCGCTTTTGCTTTGAAACCATAAGGAAATTAACTATATTTATTCCAAAATAATTGTTTATTCAGATAATTATTACTAATAAATGCAACCTGCTATTGAAGATTGGGTTTCAGTCCTGCTTCTCAGCTATATTGAATACATTCTGATTGGTTCTGATTGTGTTGAGTCACACCTCGGTTTTGTTCAGTGCAGATAAGTTGCTTATTGCTGGAAACTTAGTACAGAGAGAGGGAGGCTGAAAAAATCAGGGAAAAATAAAAAATCAGAAGAAAGGAGGTTCATGGTCGTGGCCAGTGCATGTTTTTTTGATAAGGGTCATGCTGAACGAGCGAGTTGGACGTTGTTCCTGTGGTGTCTTTATTCCCCTCGTGTATCTCACAATCCGACTGATTAATCCTGACATGGGTCGCAGCGAGAGAGCCGTGGTGTCCTGGCCAAGGATGACTTAGTTGTGTTCCCAATCAAAAACGAGCACCTGCCTGCTTTTGTGTGCTCACCAGAGGACCCTAAATCCTGTCAGTAAGAGAAAAGGAGAAGGAGAGAGAGTGACTATCCCGTTCCATTTATCACCATACAAAGACACGCACAGACAACTGCAGGCCCTAAAAATTACATCTGAGACTTCATCCCGATTTATCAAAAAGTGACTTCTGACTCCAGGAGGTATAAATCATCATTTAGTGACTAGCTGCAGGTAGAGGCAGCGTGTTCCCAGAGCACAGTCAGACAGCAGGAGACAGAAAGAGAAACAGCAGAGCTTTGATAAACGACTCTGTATGTGAACACAGTCCATCGCCGCTGTTCTACTGATCCTCAGGACAGGGCGACTTTAAAGGACGTGACATGATTCTTTGTGTAATGCGGCGAGTGTGCGATGCCGTGTGAATGCTGATGAAGCTGGATTCTTTTTGTAATGCGAAAACGTTGGACTAATGTTTTCAAGGCGCTCAAAATTTATATATATATATATATATATATATATATATAGTGGTGTGACTATATTCTTGTATTATTAGTTCATGCCATGATTATGAAGGTGTCATGTCAGTCTTATGCACACCCCTTCAAGTAAAGTGTAACCAAATTTACTGTAAAAAAAATGAAAATATGGCAGCACATTACCGTAAAAAATATGATTACAATGTTTTAGGTTTTACGGGGCTGAACTTAAATTTATGGTAAAAATGTACTGATATAATTTTAATATTCTGTGCAATCAATGCCATAAAAGATACTTTGTACTTGTATAATATACTGATAACCAGCATAATAATACAAGTGGTAAAAGAGACACATGAGGAATTAAACTTCATCAAGTAGCCTATCCACAATTGTGGGAATTTCAGTGTACGGTTTTTCACTGTATATTTTAAGATGACTATTCAAACTATACATTAAACAGTATTTTACTGTAAAAATACATAAAATATCCTCTTAGATTTACTACTCTGTATATTTACAGTTTTTATTGCTGGAAACTTAGTACAGAGAGAGGGAGGCTGAAAAAATCAGGGAAAAATAAAAAATCAGAAGAAAGGAGGTTCATGGTCGTGGCCAGTGCATGTTTTTTTGATAAGGGTCATGCTGAACGAGCGAGTTGGACGTTGTTCCTGTGGTGTCTTTATTCCCCTCGTGTATCTCACAATCCGACTGATTAATCCTGACATGGGTCGCAGCGAGAGAGCCGTGGTGTCCTGGCCAAGGATGACTTAGTTGTGTTCCCAATCAAAAACGAGCACCTGCCTGCTTTTGTGTGCTCACCAGAGGACCCTAAATCCTGTCAGTAAGAGAAAAGGAGAAGGAGAGAGAGTGACTATCCCGTTCCATTTATCACCATACAAAGACACGCACAGACAACTGCAGGCCCTAAAAATTACATCTGAGACTTCATCCCGATTTATCAAAAAGTGACTTCTGACTCCAGGAGGTATAAATCATCATTTACTGACTAGCTGCAGGTAGAGGCAGCGTGTTCCCAGAGCACAGTCAGACAGCAGGAGACAGAAAGAGAAACAGCAGAGCTTTGATAAACGACTCTGTATGTGAACACAGTCCATCGCCGCTGTTCTACTGATCCTCAGGACAGGGCGACTTTAAAGGACGTGACATGATTCTTTGTGTAATGCGGCGAGTGTGCGATGCCGTGTGAATGCTGATGAAGCTGGATTCTTTTTGTAATGCGAAAACGTTGGACTAATGTTTTCAAGGCGCTCAAAATTTATATATATATATATATATATATATATACATATATAGTGGTGTGACTATATTCTTGTATTATTAGTAGTAGTAGTAGTAGTATTAAATCTTAAGAAGACAATTTAAATGGGGTTTAAATTTAAATGTACATTAAGTACAACAATTCAAAATTGGACTAAAACAATAT